TAGAAGATTTAATAAACTGCTTCAAAGGTAAGTGCAAATCATGCAATTTATTTAGATTGTTAAATGTTAGGGAAATATTATCATTATTGATAGCTATCAATTGAAATCACAGTACGATACAATGCGATAAATGCTTTATCCAACTTTTATGCAAATGAAGCCTCTTTTGTTGCCCTAAGATGAAACATGTTTATCGTCTGACTGGAAACCCACAATATTTGGTTACTAATATTTTAATTAAGGATTAATTCGACGAATTTCAATTACAGTTTTCGAAAAATGGCGTGATTTAATTGTTCATTACACTAAAAAACTTAAATATTTGAGAAGTAAGTTTAAATTATTATTGATGTCTATTCTCATTGTGATTCTTTTCCTAATAAAATCAATTATTAATTTCAGATCAACCAACTTATTCGCCTGATTATGTTTATCTGCACCTTAAGGAACCAATTGATGTAACCTGTTTGAGCACATTGTTTCCAAATTTAAGGGTATGTTGACAGATTTTATTACAGTTTCATTGTTTACGTAGTTCTTATTTTTGATACAAATCTCATCAAACAGATTGTCGAATTTTCATATCCACTTTTTGGAAAAGCACCAATCGAAGATATGGCTGAACTAATCAGACATTCTGAATCTTTGAAAGGAATAATCTTTGATTCCATCCGGATTGATTGCCGTCTGGAATTCGAATTGATGCCGTGGAACGCTAACCTTGAAATGTTATCTATCGGATATATTGATCCAGACATAAGTGGAGTCTATGAAAATGTGAAACAATTGCACCTTTGCAACTCTACTCTAGAAAAATTCAAAGAAGTGGCACATTGTTTTCCAAATCTTGAAAGGCTACGAATTTATTCTCGAGAAGGTAATTTCCTTTATTATCTTTCATAATTGCTTGTTGACTAACCTTTTTTTATGTTTAGGCTTATCAGAACAATACTCTGATGCTCCAGTACTGGCGAATCTTAAAATATTTGAAATGCGTTTGCCTCTTATTAATAAGGAAGACACTTGCTGTCCATTTGTATTCATGGATTCGTGCCCAGCATTACAGAGTGCTCATATCAGAATTGATTACAGTCACTTTGCTTTCCATCGTATGATAAAATGTGCAAACTTACGAGATTTAGTTATACAGTTTGTGAGTTTGATTTTGTTTCTGATATTTGATTTTAATCCTGAAAGGTGTGCTATCATGACATTGTTCATCATTTTATTGTCAAAATTTATTCGTTTTTCTCAATTATGGGATAGACTTTGATCTGTCGACTTTTATTCATATTTTGAAAAAAAATTTTCAGTGCAATTGTTACTTATTCACATAGCAACTTAACAAATTTACATTTATTTCTATTTCAATAGTATCAACCAGTCGAATGGAATAAACTACGAAAACTAATGTCAAAATATCCAAATCTGAAGCATTTGGCATTACGATATACCTCTTTAAAAGACGAGCTCATCAAGGAATTAATAAGTATTTTGCCAAAACTGACACTACTTGATATTCGTGGATCTTTTGGAGTCACTCGAAGAGCTGATAATTATGTTCGGGACTATTGTAAGCGGTATGGCCGATCAATTAAGTTTTATACCGATGCAGAAGACAAACAAATTGAATCTGATTGGCCGCAGTCATTAAATCGACCAAAAAAAATCTGTCGTGGATTTGATTTCATGGAACATTGTTTTTTCAAAGATTTTGGTTTATTGCCTAATTTTTTGGATCCAATAGATGATTGAAAATGAAAAGGAGAAAAAATTGACAATCCTAGCACTTAATTTTTGTTTCAATTGTAAGGTTTATGATATCGAAAAAAGTGTCTTATACCGCGCTATTTTACTCAGACCATAATTATCGATATTAGATTGAGTTAACGGGTCAGTACACCACTCAGGGCTGGGTAATTACTAGTCTTGAAATAATGAAACTCAAAGCTTTTATGTTTCAATGAGAAATCAATTGCTAGACATTTTAAATATTTAAGCATTGCCATTCTTATTCAATATCGAAGCATAAACCTTCAAGATTCGAGCGATGATAGTTATCTATGTATCTAATATTTTGATGCCCTTTATTAATGTCAAATTATCGATTTTTGACCAAGAATAAAAATCCAAACAAGTTTAGCCAATAGCTCCAAAAGTAAAAGAAGGAAATTTATTCGAAGCGTCAAATAAGTCAAATCGTTGTTTGACATAACCTTTTAACTAACTTCGTTCATAAAATATACTAAATTTTGTAGAACCTTAATATTTTCTCTGAATGACAGCATGAATCAAACATTAATTTTAACTTTAGCTGCTCATACAACCAAAGTATCATATTTTCAAGTGCATAAAAGCGCACTTGTTGAATCTGGTATAATTGATTTTTAAAAAGAGCCTCTACAAGATTATGATGATGATTACGATGAAGCTTGGATTGAAGACCTTAAACATTTTAGAGAATTCAGAAGATTGAGTAATCAGCAATTCGCCCTATTCATTTTCATATCCTCTTTGGTCTTGGGTTACAATGTTGTTGAAACTACAAATCTATCTTTGATTACTAACATAACGTTAAGCAATTTTGCAATTAATATCCATGATCATTGATAGTCTGTTTGATGTAAAAGTTCTAGGCATAGTTGAAAGTAATAAAAATAGCCAAAAAGACGTAGAAAAAATACCAAAATGAGCTTGAATTGCATGGTACAGAGACTCAGAAAGGTTAATGAACATCGATGTTGATCTCTTGGTAATCGATGGTCACAAAATTCAGAAAATATCGGTAACTATCGATAAAATCGATAAAATCGCTCAGCATTTGTCAACATTTCAGCTTCAGCTCTACTTTCAACTGACTTGTCGTCTGAATCGACTAGCTGTGTTATCTAATAAATATTATATTTATCAACTGGAGATTAGTTGAAGTTACCCTTTTAAATTTTCTTTGATAATGTTAATAAATGAACTTCCAGATGATTGTTTGTTGGCTATTTTTGATTACATACAAGATTTAGAAGATTTAATAAACTGCTTCAAAGGTAAGTGAAAATCATGCTATTTACATGTATTTAGATTGTTAAATGAGAGAGAAATCAGATTATATTGAAATCATTTTTAGCTATAAATTGAATTCACAGTAAAATACAATTCGATTAAAGCCCAACATACATATATTAATCAAGGAAACGGTTATATTGAAAGCTCTTTTGCTATCCTGTGATGAATATTGTTGATCGTCTGACTTATAAAGCGCAATATTCAGATAGTTATTAGTTTGAAATTATGTTTTGCTAATTTGATATTAATTCGATAAATTTTAATTGCAGTTTGCGACAAATGGTGTAATTTGATTGTTGGTCGGACTAAAAAAATTAAATATTTGATTGGTAAGATTTAAATTTGGCTTGATGTGTATTCTAATTGTGATCGTTTTGCTAATGAAATCATTTATTAATTTCAGATCAACCAAGTTATTCGCATGATTATTTTTGTTTCCACCTTAAGGAACTAATTAATGTAACCTGTTTGAGCAGATTGTTTCCAAATTTAAGGGTTTGTTGACAGATTTTATATTATTTCACTTTCAGTGTTTGTGTAGTTTTATTTTTGATCGAATCTTATTCAAATAGATTGCTGAATCTTATCATCCACCCTATGGAGATCAAACACCAATCGAAGATTTTGCTAAACTAATCAGAGATTCAGAATCTTTGAAAGGAATAATTCATGGTTCTTGTTACGTCTTGGATTTCGAACTAATGTCGGAATATGCTAACCTCGAAATGTTATCTACCGGATCTATAAGGCCGAACCTAAGTAAAATCAATGAAAATGTGAAACAATTGCACCTTACGACCACTACTCTGGATATTTTGCAGCAAATCGCCCATTATTTTCCAAATCTTGAAAAACTACATACTTTTACAATTATTCACGGTAGTAATCTCATTTATAACAATTTCATATATCATTATTTACATCTTTTTATAATTGTTTAATGACTAACTTTTTTCATGTTTAGGCGCTAGAGATTCTGATGAACAAGTATTGCCAAATCTTAAAATACTCGAATTAGAAGATTGTGCAGGCTGTTGCCATTCATTTCTATTCATGGATTCGTGCCCAGCATTGCAGAGTGCTCATATCACAATTGGTAGAACACATATTACCATCAATGATTCAATAAAAAATTTAAACTTACGAGATTTAGTTATACACTCTGTGAGTATGATTTCACTTGAGATATTTGATTCAGATTCTGAAAACTGATATCACGATATTTTTTATTTTATTGTCGATTTTCATTCGTTTTTTCTCTATTTTAATAGTACGAACCAATCGAATGGAATGTAATATCAAGATGCATCTCAAAATGTCCAAATCTAAAGCATTTGGCAATACGAGGTACCTATTTAAAAGATGAACACATCCAGCAATTGATATTAATTTTGCCCAAACTGACACTACTTGATGTTCGTAAATCTCGTGGAGTCACTCAAGAAGCTGCTGATCATGTTCGGGACTACTGTAAGCAGTATGGCCGTTCAATCAAGTTTTATTTCAAAAAAGACGACAAACAAATTGAATCTGATTGGCCGCAGTTATTGAATCGACCTGATAAAGTTTGTCTTGGATTTGATTTCATGGAACATTGCTTTTTCAAAAATTTTAATGATTTGCCTCATTTTTTGGATCCAGTAGATGATTTAAAATGCAAACGTTAACACTATTGTCATTCCTTTGCATCTAATTTTCAGCTGTTGCATGTACGATATTGAAAAAAATGTCTTATACCTTGATATCTCACTCAGATCGTAATTTTCGATCTTAGATGGAATTGATAGGCATTACACGTCGCAGTGCTGGGTAACCACTTTTCTTAAAATATTGAGATTCAAAGTTTTTATTTTTCAATTAGGAACCTATTGATAAATATTATAAATGATTAATTAATGCCATTCTTATTCAATATTGGATTGCAAACCTTTAAGATTCCGAGCGATGATATAATATTTATCCATGTATTTTGATGTCATAGATTAATGTCAAACTATTGATATCTGTTTATGAATAAAAATCAAAACAATTTTTGGTATACCAATAGCTTTAAAAGTAAAAGGGTTTTATTTTGAACTTTCTCGAGTATAACTTTTTTTATTTAAGTATTTTAGGCAAGACAATAAACTGATAAAATAGAGCTTTATAAATAGAGCTTAATAATAGGCATTGAATTTTCGTGTGATTCACAATCGGAAGACTGAGATAACGAGCAGAGAGTACTTTCAAGCTCACTACTACACCATATAACTACACATATAAATATGTACTAGCTACAAGATGTAAAATAATATTGAAAAACGGTGTCTTATAACAATATATACCTCGATACCTTACTCAGACCATAATTGTCGATCTTAGATAGAGTTGACGGGTCATTATACTTATCAGTTCGGGCAATCATTAGTTTGGAAATATTTAGACTCAAAGCTTTTATTCCTCAATGAGAAACCAATTGATAGATATTTCAAATAATCAAGCAATGCCATTCTTACATTTATTGAATGTAAGTTGTTGTATACGATGTTGTATTCAATATCAAAATGCAAAGCTTCAAGATTTCGAGCAATTATAATAGTTATCTATGTATTTTGATTTCATATTTTAATGTTAAATAATTGATATTTGTCCAAGAATAAAAATCAAAAAAAGTTTAGTCAATAGCTTCAAGAGTAAAAGGAAGAAATTGAATGTGTCAAATCGTTGTTTGACATAACCTTTCAACTTAATTCGTTCATAGAAGATACAGAATTTTAAGAGCTTTAATAGTCTCTCTGAATGACAGCATGAATCAAACATCCATTTTATTAACTTTAGCTGCGCATAAAAACCAATGTTCTTTTCAAGTGCATGAAAAACGGACTTGTTGAATAAAATAGCCAAAAAGACGTAGAAAAAATACCAAAATGAGCTTCAATAGCATGGTACAAAGAGACTCGGAAAGGTTAATCAACAGCGTTGTTTATCTCTTGGTAATCGATGATCAGTAAAGTCAGAAAATGTCGATAATTGTCGATCTTATCGATAAAATCGCCTAGCACTTGTCAACATCTCAGATTCGATTTCATGACTGAGATTGACTCTCTTGTTTTTTCCTGATTTTCGGCTGCCCTGAAATTTGTGATTTACAGATTTAGAACTATAGATTTACCATATTAAGATGTAATAAATCGAGATTTAATTATATAACGAACGATAATCTTAAAATTGTCATTTTCAAGCTTTACTGTATGTGCTCGACTTAACGGAAATGATTCATACTATGTTTCCGTATCAAGAAGCGTGATTCCTCTATCCGACTAAATACCTTCACACCATAAAAAGGACGAAATCTCATAAACTAATGTTTTTCTGTTGCCGATGTTAAGGATATATTATGGTAAATTATCTGTACTCTTGTAACTTTGATACCTTTAAATGAGCCACGGCTAACAGAGAATGGCGTTTGAGCCTCTTAGCCATATGGCTCAGCGTCAGCTTTAGCGTGGCCAATGGCTATTTATCCAGCTCTACTTTCTAGTGACTTGTTGTCTCAATCGACTAGTTGTTTTATTTAATAATGATTATAGTTTTATTAACTAAAAATTGATTAAAGTTGACATTTCAAAGCTGCTTTAAAAATGTTGATAAATGAACTTCCAGATGATTGCTTGTTGGCTATTTTTGATGCCATACAAGATTTAACGGATTTAATAAACTGCTACAAAGGTAAGTGCAAATTATGCCATTTATTTAGATTTTTGCATGTGAGGGGAATCAGATTATATTTGAATCATTGATCGCTATCAATTGAAGTCATAGCAAAATACATGATACAAGAGAAAAGTCAAACTTATTAATCCAGCTTTTATACGAAAGAAACGGTTCCAATGAAACCCTTTATGCTATCTTGTTATGAATGTTGTTGATCGTCTGACTGATAAATCGCAATATTCTGATGCTAATAGTTTCGGCAACTTGAATTCATGTCTTGTAATAAATAGTATTTGATGAATTCCAATTTCAGTTTGCGAAAAATGGTGTAATGTAATTGTTGGTCGGACAAGAAGAGTCAAATATTTGACTGGTAAGATTTTAATTACCATTAATGCTTATTCTCATTGTCAACCATTTTCTAATAAAATCAATTATTAATTTCAGATCAACCGCTTGATTATTTTTGGAATTTCGTGCAGGAACCCGTTGATGGGTTTGGGCCCAAAACAGCCAAAGTCAAAACAGCCAAGTCCATAACAGCCAAGTCCAAAACGGCCAAAGTCAAAACAGCCAAATACAAAGCTGCTTAAATCAAATAAAACTACTTAAATGATCAGATCTATTAGGGGTATCAAAAAGTACTTTTGTTTTTTTACCACTGACTTTTGCTTCAATTTTGAATAAGTTTGACTTAATCAATAGACTCAATAATTTTGCGGACACAAGAGCATCGATATAGGTGTATGTAGACCATTTTTTGGCTCAATCCGAGTTAATTAAGTTTAATTAATTAGCTTATCAATATCCATAGGCAGGTTTTTTTGGACTTTTTTGCAATTTGAATTGATATGATTTAAGCAGCTTTGTATTTGGCTGTTTTGACTTTGGCCATTTTGGACTTTGCTGGTTTGGACTTGGCTGTTTTGACTTTGGCTGTTTTGGGCCTTTACCCGTTGATGTAACCTCTTTCAGTGAATTGTTTCCAAATTTAAGGGTTTGTGGACAGATTTCATATTATTAGGGGTTTCAAAAAGTTCTGTCGTTTTTTTCTCTTATGATTTTGAATAAGTTTGACTTATTCAATTGACTCGATAACTTCGAGGATTTCAGGAATCCAATATAATTAATTAGCTAACCAATACATGTATGTACTAACAATGAAGTTAGTTGAAGAGACAATTAAAAGTTGCCAGAACTTATTGATTTTTTTGTTGAAAAAATTAAAATTAAAATCACAAGTTAACATTACTGTCCATATAATCACTGACAAGTGAGTAAAATTTGAAACTTCTAATCACTATCATGTAATAACATGATTCATGTTGCTATTATAGTTGATCAACTCCGATCGAGTCCAAAAATGGCATAAATGCACTCATACTGATGCTCTTGTATTCCTGAAATTATCGAGTCAATTTAATAAGTCAAACTTATTCAAAATCTAAGCTAAATCATAAGAGAAAAAAAACGACTGAGCTTTTTGATACCTTGATACCTCTAATATTTCACTTTCATTGTTTTTAAGGTTTATTTTTTTACAAATTTTATCATGACAGATTGCTGAATTTTCATATCTACACGATGCAAGAGCATCAATCGAAGGCACTGCCAAGCTAATCAGACGCTTAGAATCTTTGAAAGGAATAATTTATGATGGTCGTTTGAATTTCGAATTGAAACCGGAACACGCTAACCTCGAAATGTTATCTGCCAGTTATACTCCTTTATACATAAACGGACTCTATGAAAATGTGAAACAATTGCACCTTTTTCGCTCTAATCAAACTCAACTCGAATGCTTGGTACATTTTCCAAATCTTGAAAGATTACATCTTTCTATTATTAATAGTTCAGAAGGTAATCTCCTAATATCTTAAAATTTCATTTATTATTTCAATATCTTTTTATAATTGTTTGTTGATGAACCTTTTTCATGTTTAGACACACCAAAGTACCCAGTATTGGCAAATCTTAAAATAGTTGAAATAAATTTGTATCCGGATAGTTGGTTCAACCCTTGGTGTTCATTTAGATTCATGGATTCGTGCCCAGCATTACAGAGTGCTCATATCAGAATTGAATATTGTCAAATACACTTCAATGATTCAATAAAACATGCAAACATACAAGATTTGGTTATACAATTTGTGAGTAAGAGTTCCATTTTTAATCCTGAAAAGCGTTATTCGCAATATTGTTCATCATTTTATTGTCGATATTTATTCAATTTTCAATTATAGGATGAACTTTGATCTGTCGACTGTTATTTAAAATTTTGAAACATTTTTTGCAGTGCAATTGTAATTTATTCACTTAGCAACTTAACAAATTGACACTTTTTTTTATTTTAATAGTTAGAACCAATCGAATGGAACTCACTACGGGGATTAATATCAAAATGTCCAAATCTAAGGCATTTGGCTTTACGAAATATCTTTTTCAAAGATGAACACATCAAACAATTAATAGTAATTTTGCCCGAACTGACTCTACTTGATATTCGTGAATCTTTTGGAGTCACTCAAGAAGCTGCTAATCATGTTCGGAACTATTGTAAGCGTTATGGCCGATCAATCAAGTTTTATTTCAAAGCCGACGACAGACAAATTGAATCTGATTGGCCACAGCTATTGTATCGACCAGATAAAATTTGTCGTGGATTTGATTTCATGGAAAATTGTTTTTTCAAAAGTTTCGATGATTTGCCTAATCTTTTGGATCCAATAGATGATCAATAAAATGAAAAAAACTGCCAATCCTTTGCAATTTTTCTGCTTTTCAACTATGAGGTCTAGGATATTTAAAGAAATGTCTCATACCAGTTTTTTTAAATGAGCCTTGACACTTCGATCAAAAGTTATTCGAGTTTAAAGTTTGATTTGATATTACAAAATCCCTTGCAAAATGCGTTCATTTACCATTGTTATTTTATCTCTCGTTGTCTACACTGTTTCTGGTGCAGCAATTGTATCACAAGACGAGTTGACCACTGGAAAGTGCCATTGACATCAGAATCATCTGTAATT